TGCAGCCATGGTGTTATAAGTTGCTCTGGGAACTCGCGATAATCTTCTTGGGGCCGTTTCGGAAGCCTTCTGGAATCGTTTTGCGACCCTTTTGGGCCGTATTACATATATGTTGGCCTGTTTTCCAGCGGTGTGGAAGATTTTAAGCGGTTTGGAGCTCTCGGAAGTGCCTCTTGGGATCTCAGTGAAACCTCTGTGGCCCCCCAGACACCCCCCAGACAAACATCCAAAACCCATACAAAAATCAATGATACTTGCCTGCCGAAGCCGTCTGGGTGAGCCTCCCGGAGCCGCCGTGAGCCGTCAGGGAGCCACCTGAAGCCATCCCACAAAGGCCTTGGGCTGTGTTGGGATCGCTTGGAATGTTTCTGGGCCCTCTTGGGGCCCTGTTGGACCCGTTTTGACAATATCTTGGGCCCTCTTGGCCACTTCCTCGACCAACTTGTCTGAGCGGGGAAGCTTGCGGCAGGCTCCGGAGTTGCTCCGCGGAAGGAAGGTGGGCTCGAACGTTCCCCTCTCCACATACGGGAGCCACCACGGAAACGGGGAGGAGGAAGAGGCAGTTAGGTGCGCGGGCGTCTTACCTGACGTCCGCTCCCTCCCTCCCATCTTTTCCCATGACGCAAATCTCCTCTTCATACGAACAATCGGATATCATAGCATGAAATCGCAACAAAGGAAGGCATCGCATGGCAGAAGCAGCCCTCGGAACGTGCCGGATGCCGAAAATGAAGCCAGCCCGATGGGAGAAACACAAGCAAAACTCCAGCATGTTTTCCAATCGTGTGTGCAAGAACACCATACGCGGAAGGATTCTGACCAAGCGGAAACCCGATAGTGAGGCCGCCGGCGCAGTATGATCCGAACATTGGCAAATCCGAACACGCTCGTATTGAACAACACATATGAAAACCTAATTCGGGGAAGCACCAACACATCCGGCTGATCCTATGTACGAAGCCATACGCGGAGAGGAGCCTGTTATTTTTCACCTCGCTCGGCACGCTATCAGGAGAGAGAGAGGAGAGCAGTATTCATATTGAGAAGCCGTCTACAAGGCCCGCCCCCTGGTGGCGCGGATCGCTACCCCTAGATCTCACCCTCTCTTCCGAATCTCGGAGAATCTTGCTTGGTCCCCACAGCGCACCAGATGGGCGAAGAGGGTCCCAGGATCGCCCGAGGAAGGCCTGCCAGATAATGATAGCGGCCCGAGAGGCTCCGGACTCGGGCCAAGACGCTTCCATTAGGCGTTCCTTCTCCTCCTCCTCCTCCCCCTCCTCCTCCTCCTCTTTCTCCCTTCCCCTTCCCCTTCCTTCTCCTCCTCTTTCACGCCCTCCTCTTTTTCTTCCTCCTCCTCCTCCTTCTCCTCCTCCTTCTCCTTCTCCTCCTCCTTTTCCTCCTCCTCCTCCTCCTCGGCTTCCTTTTTTTCCTGTCTGTGGTCTGCAGAGACGCGATGATATCGAGGTCAAGGGTTTGAGCTGTTTCTGGCTCCTGGTGTGGTCGCAGTCGTGGTGCGGACTCGCCCTCAGTGCGTCAACTGGCGTTCACGCTCGTGCGGTTGACGGCTCCTCGTTCCAGCGAGCGTGTGGCGTGTGCTACACTGTGCGTCTGCGTGGGTAGCGGTGAGGAAGTCCATGGCGCTGTATGCACGCTGGCGGAAAGTAGCAATGTTATTGATTCATTGGTTCATTGATTCATTGATTCATGGTTTCAGTCACTCGCGGAAACAGCGGGATGCCAGGGAGCATCAGCAAGTCATCATCGAAGCAGCGGGCCATTGTAACAGAAGTTGCGGCGAAACAGAGTGGCACCGGCGTTGATTCATTGATTCATGATACACTGTTTCATTGATTCATTGATTCATTGGTTCATTGATTCATTGATTCACTGATTCAGACACGCGCAAAGGCAGCGGGTCGAGAGGCCGCATCAACGCGTGAAAAAAGATGTCCAACAGGCCAGTGCCCCAATGCCAACGTCATTCGACGTCCGCGCAGGGTTGTCCAGTCCAGGACACGTGCAATTCCCACGCGGTGCGACACTTCGGTGCACTGACTCATTCACTCATAGATTCAGTGATTCATAGCATCCTTGTGCTACGGGTTTTCTAGACTCTTTGATTCATTGACTCATTGACTCGTTGATTCATTGATGCTTCGGCGCAGCCACTTTATGATTCTATGCAGGTTCGTGACGCGCGACATGATGTACAGTTCAACGTTGGGTGATTCTTGATACAGTGCCGGGTTTGGCTCGAGTGCTGCGCAGCCATTGGGGGTAGCGACCAGCACGTCGCATTGGGACAGAAACATCGTTTGAAGCCACACTGATTCTTTGATTTTCAAGTCATAGCGCGTTGCTGCGAGGGCGAGCGGAGTCGTCGAAACTCCCGTCGCTGGCGCCTGCGCTTGCGAAGGGGTGCCGCGCCACGCTCGTCTGTTCAATGTCTGACGGGGTTGTGCAAAGCGTTATTCTCGTCAATTTCCCGAAACGCTCGTTCGGCCGCCTTGTCAAAAGCGGCGCCTGTGCGAATGTGCATGCACTGCTTGTCGGCTCACTGAAGAGCGCCATTCTCATCAATTCTTCGCCACTTGTGTATCCGTAACGGATTCGCCCCCTGCCGCAGACCCCCTCTCTCGAAAATTGGCCATGGAAGAGCTAAGTCAGGAGGCCTCGGCGCTGTCGTGGAGCAGTATCGGAACCCCCCGCGAGACCGATTCGAAATCGGCAACACCAACTGATCACAAGAGGGATTACCACACCTGGCGCCCTCTGAGCGCCATGCGACGCTTCGCGACGTCTTGCGGCGCCGTCCGCCGCCCTGCGTGCCCGGCAGACGCGCAGGTGCGTTCACTGAGCTTTCGCGACGCCTCGCGACGCTTTCCGCCGCCCTGCGTGCCCGGCAGGCGCGCGGATGCGTTCTCTAAGCACGCGGCGTGCCACCGAAGGGAAAGCAAATTGAGAGGTTTGCGAGCCTTTCGCCCTTCTGAACGACATATGTTTTGAAGTTGGACGCCTGCGTGCCTTTCGGTTCACGACGAAACGCCGCCAGGAGCAGCCAAAGACGTTCGAAGCGATGCTTTCGCGCGCTCGCGTACGCTTCGAAACACGGCGTGCCATAACAAGGAACCCACAAAGGCGTTCTGAACGCATTTCCGCGCGCCTGCGAGCCCTCCAAGGCACGGCGCATTCTGAACGACACATTTTTCGAAATTCGACGCCTGCGTGCCTTTCAGTCCACGACGAAACACCGCCAGGAACAGCCGAATACGCTCGCCACGATGCTTTCGAACGCCTGCGCGCGCTTCAAAACGCGGCGTGCCACAGCAGAGAACCCCAGAAGGCGTTCTGAACGCACTTCCGCGTGCCAGCGTGCCCTCCAAGGCACGGACGAAACACCGCCCCCTCAGCAACGCGCTATGACGTGAAAACACATGACTCATAACGGTTCCAAACGATGTTTCTGTCCCACTGCGACGTGCTGTTCGCTTCCCCAATTGGCTGCACTGCACTCGAGCCAAACCCGGCACTGAAGGAATAATCGCAAAACGTTGAACTGTACATCATGTCGCGCGCCACGAACCTGCATATAATCACAAAGTGGCTGCGCCGAAGCATCAATGAATCAACGAATCAATGAGTCAATGAATCAAAGAGTCTAGAAAAACCCGTAGCACAAGGATGCTATGAATCACTGAATCTATGAGTGAATGAGTCAATGGACCAAAGTGTCGCACCTCGTGGGGATTGCACGTGTCCTGGACTGGACAACCCTGCGCGGACGTCGAATGACGTTGGCATTGGGGCACAGGCCTGTTGGACATCTTCGTTCACGCGCTGATGCGGCCTCTCGACCCGCTGCTTTTGCGCGTGTCTGAATCAATGAATCAATGAACCAATGAATCAATGAATCAATGAAACAGTGAATCATGAATCAATGAATCAGCGCAGGTGCCACTCTGCTTCGCCGCAACTTCTGTTACAATGGCCCGCTGCTTCGATGATCACTTGCTGATGCTCCCTGGCATCCCGCTGTTTCCGCGAGTGACTGAAAGAATGAATCAATGAATCAATGAATCAATGAATCAATGACTCAATAACATTGCTACTCTCCGCCAGCGCTACGGGGGAGGAGGAGGAGGAGAAGGAGCGCCTAATGGAAGCGTCTTGGCCCGAGTCCGGAGCCTCTCGGGCCGCTATCATTATCTGGCAGGCCTTCCTCGGGCGATCCTGGGACCCTCTTCGCCCATCTGGTGCGCTGTGGGGACCAAGCAAGTGAGGCTGCTGAAAATGCTTGATGTACAAAGGGGCCAGGGTCCAAAAACACATGGGATTTGCAACATTTTTGAAATTCGGTGCTACCCCTCACGCAGATCCGCGGGGTCAGGGTCCAAAAACACATGGGATTTGCGACATTTCTGAAATTCGGTGCCACCCCTCACGCAGATCCGCGGGGTCAGGGTCCAAAAACACAAGGGAACTGCAACATTTCTGCAATCGGTGCCACCCCTTACGCAGATCCGCAGGGTCAGGGTCCAAAAACACATGGGATTTGCCACATTTCTGAAATTCGGTGCCACCCCTCACGCAGATCCGCGGGGTCAGGGTCCAAAAACACGGGGGATGTGCGACATTTCTGAAATTCGGTGTCACCCCTCACGCAGACCCGCAGGGTCAGGGTCCAAAAACACAGGGGATTTGCCACATTTCTGAAATTCGGTGCCACCCCTCACGCACATCCATCGCAAGGCGTGGTAACCCAAACTGCGAGTACTCCCTCGGCCCTTTAATCCCAAGGTGTGGTAACCAAGCTCGTAAACCATACACGTCTTACCAATCGCCCTGTGTGGTAACCCCTCTTGTGATCAGTTGGTTTTGCCGATTGCGAATCGGCCTCGCATGAAATTCCGATACTGCTGCACGACAGCGCCAAAGCCTCATGACTTAGCTCTTCCATGGCCCATTCTCCGAGAGAGGGGGCCGGCGGCAGGGGGCGAAGCCCTTACGGATAATCCTTAGTCGTAGCAGAGCTGAGGTTGAGCAGCGCCATGGCAGGTCCAAAACACTCCGCATGTCCTGTTACGTCCTGCATGCCGGCCTCGTAGCAGGTCTGGCCAGGGGGAAGCAGCGTGTAGTCCTGGTACGAGGTGGTCGTGTCTGACGACGTTACCGACATGCTCGTGGTACTCGTGCCTGTCGCCGAGAAGGTGGTGCTGCTCGTTGCGCTAGTGCTGCTGCTTCCCGTCGTGCTGGTCGCGGTGATGCTGCTCGTTGTGCTGGTGCTGCTGCGCGTGGTGCTGCTGCTTCCCGTCACGCTGGTCACGGTGATGCTGCTGGTTGCGCTATTGCTGCTGCGCGTGGAGGTGGTTGTCGTGATGGTCACGGTGCTGCTGCTGGTTGCGCTAGTGGTGCTGCGCGTGGTGTTGCTGGTTCCCGTCGTGCTGGTCACGGAGGTGCTACTGGTTGCGCTAGTGGTGCTGCGTGTGGTGCTGCTGGTTCCGGTCGTGGTGGTGTTGCTGGTTGCGGTAGTGGTGCTGTGCGTGGTGCTGCTGCTTCCCGTCGTGCTGGTCACGGTGCTGCTGCTGGTTGCGCTAGTGGTGCTGCGCGTGGTGTTGCTGGTTCCCGTCGTGCTGGTCACGGAGGTACTACTGGTTGCGCTAGTGGTGCTGCGTGTGGTTCTGCTGGTTCCGGTCGTGGTGGTGCTGCTGGTTGCGGTAGTGGTGCTGTGCGTGGTGCTGCTGCTTCCCGTCGTGCTGGTCGTAGTGGTGCTGCTGGCTGTGCTAGTAATGCTGCGAGTGCTGCTGGTTGTTGCGGTCGTGCTGGTCGCAGATGTACTGCTGGTTGCGCTAGTAGTGCTGCGCGTGGTAGTGCTGGTACCCGACGTGCTGGAATCAGTGGTGGTGCTGGTTGCACTAGTACTGCTGCTTGCCGTGCTGCTGGTAAACGTCGTGCTTGTATTGCTAGTGCTGCTGTCACTCGTGCTGCTCGCTGACATGCTGGTCGCAGTGCTGCTCCTGGTCCTGGTCGTGCTGCTGCTTGCGGTCGTCGTCAGGACACCGATGCAAATGTACTCGTAGTCCGCATGAGCCTCGGCCGTGTCTGATGATGACCCAAAATATACCTTAGAGCTCGGGACATGGTGCACGCAGGTAAAAGCTACGTGCAATCCAGTGTAATCACTCGTGTGTGCATTACCGAAGCCAACGACTGCCCTGGCAAGTCCAAAACACTCCGCGGAACTGGTTATGTCCCGCATGCCGGCCTGGGAGCAAGTCAGACCAGCGGGCAGCAGAGCATAGTTAACGGAGGAAAAGGTCGTGGCTGACAACGACGTCAGCGAGGACGTGGCGCTCGCTCTGGTCACGGTGGTGCTGCTGGTTGCGCTGCTGCTGCGCGTGGTGCTGCTGCTTGCAGTCGACGTCAGGACACCGATGCAGATGTACTGGTAGTTCGGGTTTGCCACGGCTGTCTCGGAGGTGGAATCCCCAAAGCGAATAGTTGACTTACTTCCCACGTACACGCAAGTGAACGACATGAACTCTCCAGTATAATCCTCAGTCGTAGCAGAGCTGAGGTTGAGCAGCACCATGGCAGGTCCAAAGCATTCCGCATGTTCTGTTACGTCCTGCATGCCGGCCTCGTAGCAGGTCTGGCCAGGGGGAAGCAGCGTGTAGTCCTGGTACGAGGTGGTCGTGGCTGACGACGACGCCAACGCAGTCGTGCCAGTGGTAATCGTAGTTGTGTATATCCCTCTGCAGATGAATCGGTACTGATCGTTGCCATAGGTGTACGCGCTCTGCGTCTCCGCGAAGACCAACATGTCCAAGAGAACATCGTAGACGCAACGGATCCCACCATTCGGTCCAGAGAACACATACGTGCTGTTGGTGTCCACAGCGACCTCGGGCGCTGCGGTGACGAAACACTCCGTTGAGTCAAGGGGGTCGTCCAGGCCCACGTCGCTGCACGTCTGGCCTGGCGGTGCACGGTTTCCCCCGGGGTCGTAGGCGACCCGAGGAGGAGGAGGAGGAGGAGGAGAGGAGGAAGAGGAGGAGGAGGAGGAGGAGGTGGAGGTGGAGTAGGGGGAGGAGGATATGGAGATGGAGGAGGAAGAGGAGGAGGAGGAGGAGGAGGAGGAGGAGGAGGAGGAGGAGGGAGGAGGGGGAGGAGGGGGAGGATGAGGAGGAGGAGGAGAGAGGAAGAGGACGGGTCGCCTAAGCCCTTCGGAGAAACCCTCCAGCCTGGCGGCAAGAGTGAATAGCCGGACGCCGCAGAGAACTCCCTGGCCGGTGGCAGCCCCGCGGGCGCGGCCCAGAAAAGCGCCCCCTCTCGGAGGGTGCGGTGCGCGGCGCGGCGGCCCGCGGCGCTCCCTGAACGGCCTGGCCCAGCCGGCAGGCCAGCTGGGGCAACAGCGCGCACTCTCGGTGCTGGCGCCGTGTCTGCCGCCGCCCCCGGGGCAGCCGATGCAGCGGGCGCCGCCGTCCAGGGCGCCCACACGGCACGCAGCGTCGCCCACGCCAGCAGCGCAGCCAGCATAAGGCCGTGGGAAGCGCGTGCTGGGCCGCTGGACCTTGAGCTCAAGCGGCTGCGGAGGTGACACAAGTGGAGCCGCGGGGTGGCCCTCGCGCCGCCCCGCGGAGAAGGACAGCTCCACCGCTCAGGCGGCGTGCCGCGCGAAGCGCCGTGATCTTCGGACCCCTGCGAGCGAGCTGCGTGGCCAGCAGGCTCAAGGCCCCGCCGCGCGAGGGAACGCCAAGGACGCTCAGTGGAACTCCAGGGTGAACATTTTTTATTCGGCGTTTCGACATTGGGCGGAAAAGGGAGGGGAGGGGGTGTCCGCCTCCGGACCTCTGCTTAGTGTGACTGTACGCAATAGTGCGCCCCATGGGGGAGACTCCACCTGCTCGAAACAGGCGCCCCAAAACAGCCAAGATCTACTCCATGGGCGGGGGGGGAGGGGAGGGCACGCGCCGATCGGCAAAAAGATGAATCAAAAACGATCGCAGGGGAGACCGCCTGAGTCTGGGGAGCGTTCATGAAATGGCTCGGGGAAGTCTGGGGGAAGTCCAGAAAAAGAGCCGGGGGAATCCACGAACACCTTGCGCTAACGAAGGAGCTGGCGCGTGCGGCGGAAAAAACAATGACCTTGCGCCAATTGGCCGGCTTACCGTTGGAACACAGCGCAACAACTCGCGCGGGGGCACGACATCCGCCTTCTCTGGGTAACGAATCAACGGCCACCCGCCTATCGCATCAGGGCCTCGTAACCGAGAGGCAACCATATTGCTGCACACGAAAGAGCGGCAGTCCTGGAGCAACACACACACATACACACTCATATACACATATAAATACATCCCCAGGCCGAAAGTTTTTTCCTCTTGAACTGAACATATGAGAACATCAATGGATCCAATTGGATCCCTTTTCGGGTGTGGGAGAGTTTCGTGGATCATAATTCTTTGTTGCGCGGATCCATTTTCCTGTGTGTGAAGAAACAATGGATCCATTTATTTCCCGTGAATTTATAGATTTAAATAATGACCAACATCATTGGACCCAGGAGAAATGAGATCCGCGGAGCACCGCAAATGAAGCATCATGCTATCCACGGAGCTGTGGATGTGCAGACCAGTGCTATGATTCTACGGGGGAGGGGGGTCTTCCCAGGATGAAGAGGGGAAGGATGAGGGAAGAGGCAAGAGGAGGTGGGAGGATAATGGAGGGGACGCAGGGGGGGAGAGAGGAGGAGTAATCAGGGAAGAGAGGGGGGGGAGGAGGAAGGAAAAGGAGAAGGAGGAGGAGAAGGAGGATGAGGGAGGAGGGAGGAGAGAGGAGGGAGGCGGACGGACGAAGGAGGAAGGAGGAAGGAGGAGGAGGTGGGAGGAGGAGGGGGGAAGTGGGAGGAGGAGGAGGAGGAGGAGGAGGAGGAGGAGGAGGAGGAGGAGGAGGAGAGGAAGGGATGAGGGAGGGCGAGGACACACAAGCAAAGTGTCCAAGTCGGAAGCTCGAGCGCCACAGCGGGCCCGGCCACCTCCCTTCACCTCTCTCATAACATGTGGTTGCTCGAGCGCCACCGCGGGCCTGGCCATCTCCTGAAAGTCCTCCCATAACATTAGTTTGCTCGAGCGCCACAGCGGGCCCGGCCAACTCCCGCATCTCCACCCATAACAGATCTACCCCACCTCGAAGCGAGCGCTACATGTATCCGCTCGCCTGAACGGCGCGTCGCTTCCGACATGTGGGGCTCAAGAGAAAAATCTTTCGGCCTGCGGAAGTATATAAGTAAATATATACACATACAAGACTGCAGTGGCCCTTCGCGCCATGCACCTTGGTCCTTGAAATTTGGGATGCAGGCGGAATAGCAGAAAAGTCAAACCGACGATTTAGCGATAACTCCTTGTTGCCTTTTTTTCCGGCATCGCCGCTATAATAATGTTATTCGTTTCCTTCCTCCAGGCTTCTTTTTCTTCATTTTCGCCATACCCTGCACATTCCCCCCCTCCTCCTCAGCTTTTTTTGCGGAGGCTCCTCCTTGGAGAGCCTCTGGGGGCCTCGCAAAAGTTGTTTCATGCTTTCTTAAGGCCTTCTGGATGCCTCCTGGGCGTATTCTGGGGGCCTGCGCGGGCTTCCTCGGGCCACCCTGCCTCCGACCGCGGTCTCCCTGAACGACCAGGTCACGATTTGGAATGCTTCGGAGGGTGTCTTGGGGCCATCTTGGGCCGCCATGGGGCCCTCTGAGGGCCATCTTGGACCCATGTTGTGCTGTTTTGGGGCTCTCTTGGACTGCCTGGAAGCCCTTTCGGATGGTTGTGGGGCGATTTTGCAGCCTCCAAGGCAGCCTCCCAGGCGGCTTCGGACGCCCAGAAGACCGCCGTCTTGGAGCGTCGGGAAGCCGAAAAGGAGAACCCCAAAAATCACCAAAAACCATCAGAAACTCAATGATTTTGCCTCTTGGGGCCTTCTTGGTAGTGCTCTTGGAAGCCTCTTTGGGGCCGTCCTGAGTAAATATGTTCCTCTCCGCCTCATCGCACTTGCCTCTCTCGCTGCCTGCCTTGCCTCACCTTGACCCTGCGGCTTTGCACCGCAGCTGCTCGTGCTCACAGGGTAGAAAAGGAGCGCGCCAGCCTTCGGCCGCCGTCGGCCGCCGCGTGTCGTGGGTCGTCGGCCGGCCGGCCTCCTCCCTTCCCTTTCCTGACTACACGTGCTTAACGGTTACGTGCGGTTTCACCGATGTCTCATCCCGTATCCTCTACTACTGAGCAACGTCAACACGAGACCTTAATTCCTTTGTCATCTTACCCCGATTCTGAGAGGAAGGACTTCCTGGAGGCCTCTTGGGCCATCTTGAGGTCACGTCGGTCACTCTTGGAGCGCTCTTGTGTTGTCTTGGGGGTCGCTGGGACGTCTCCGATGACCCCCCTACGCCCTGCGAGGCCCGGGGGGCCGCTTCGAGGCCCGTCCAGAGGGTCCCAAAGCCCCAGATCCCGGAAGTCCGGTTTTGGGGGGGTGGGGGGTGGGGGGTTTTCCCCCCGCCCGGGCTTATAAAAATATAGGAAGAGGAATTTACACACACATCTCTTTTTTTTTTTCTCTCTCTCTCTCTCTCTCTCCCTATATATATATATATATATATATATATGTGCATATAGTTTGCTGTAAGACATACAGCAGATTCACACACACATTTATATGATACATGCATACATATATATACACGTTTATCGTTTTGTATAGGAGTGTGCGTATGTACGTATATGTGTATATATATGTATATATATATGTATATATATATAGGTGTACACATCTTCATACATACACATAGATTCCCCAATCAGTGCTTGCACTGAAGGGGTCATCGCAGAAGTTGAAGGATTTGGCGAAAGTGTTCCGCCGATTTTGGTCGCACGCTGGGTTCCCGGGTTCCTGGTTCCGGGTTCCCGGCTTCCCCGCTGCGGGTTCCGGGCCGATTTCGGAGGGCGGCGAGGTTCCCGGCTTCCCGGGTTCCTGGTCGATCTTCTTATCGATCGGTCTCGCCATTGATCTCATTACCCACTTCTCTATCGATCTCACAATCGATCTAGCAATCGATCCATCTATCGATGTCACAAGCGATCTCACTAGAGATCGCATGAGCGATCTCGCGATCGATCTCACTATAGGGTCTCACGATCGACCTTACAATCGTCCTCACTATCGATTCCACTATCGATCTCAGTATCGATCTCACAATCGATTTCAAGATCCATAGCATTAATTTTCAAATCATCCACTGATTGGGTTTTCTAAGGTGTAATATATATATATATATATATATATATATATATATATATATGTGGATGCTTGTACGTGAGTAAATATGCATTTTTATATACATATATATATGTATATATAGAGAGAGATATAGATATAGGTGTGCGCATTTATATACAACTATTCCCGCTGGATCTGGGCAAATCCTGGTTTGCCATGCGGCCGAATTCAAACACCCTGGATCCAAGCATATGAGAGGCTTGCTTGGGAAACATCCCGCGACACGTAAGAAGAATTGGGGGTCCCCCAACAAAAAACATGGGGTACGTCAGGAAAACCGGGAACCAGGGGGACCCCCCCCCCCCCCACTGGCCTCCTAATCCCCCCCCCTCTCCTGAATCCCCTTCCAAGGGAGGGGGGGAAGGGTTCGACCCACCCCCCCTGTACTCGCCGCTGGGGGAAACAACTGTTGACGACGGCGATGCCTAAAACGACGACGTCGCCGACGACGGCGACATCATCAGCGGCAGCGGGGGCGCACCTGGCGCTGGCGCCAGCGCCCCGCGCAGGCAAGTGGGGGAAGGGGTCGTCGCCACCCTTGTCGTCATCGCCATCGTCATCGTCATCGTCATGACCACCACTACCATCACCATGGTCACCACCATAATCATCATCGTCATCCTAATGGCCTTCGTCACCATCATCACCAGCATCATCATCGTCATCGCCCCCGATTCATCATCATCATCATCATCATCATCATCATAACCAGCATCATCATAATCATAAGCATCGTCGTAATGATTATCATCATCATTGGCAACATCCTAATCGTCATCGTCCTTATCACGATCATCATATCAAATCTTCCCTCGGGTTACACCCGTCTCCAATGGAAACCCACTAGGGCTCGATCCACTTCTAACAGGGTCCTCTAAGGGCTGGGTCCAGTCCTAATGGGATACTACTTCGGCACGATTCAACTCGACTGACATCCTATGGGGGTTGGACCCACTACAAGGGCTGGATCCAGCTCTTAACCACATACCAAAGCGTGTCGATCAGCTTTAATAGAACCTTACGCGGGCTCGGTCTAGCTTTACTGGGAACCTGCTGCTGGGGCTGGATATAGCTCCGATAGAATCTTGCTCAGAGCTGGATCAGACTGTAATGCTCTACGACTCGGGGTCGGTCCAACTCGAATGCAACCCTACGACGGCTGGAACCAGCTCTAATCGACACCCGCTCGGGCTCGATGCACCTCTGATTAAATTCTACCA